GTGCCCGGCCAATGCAAGTGACTGGTCTAGCCAATGTTTATAATTAATCATTCAAGGTGTATTAATGATCTGATATAATCATTATACATATGAGAGTTGCTTTTCAATGTATCCTTACGAGGTGTCTCAGTGATTCGCCATAATGTATGAGTACTGTGTCTAAGTATATAAGTGAACATTTGAAGAATATAGGTAATTATTCAAGGTGTATATGTGATATAAGCTTTCAAGGAATGTAACTAATTTTTGGGGTGTATAATGATTCCAATGTGTATAAATGATGCTCAAATGTGTATATGTGATATTCAAAGTTGTATTGGAAATACTCGCATTTGAATAAGTGATGTTCAAAGGTGCATAATGAATGCCAAAGTTGTTTAAGTGATCTCCAAAGTTGTATCAGAAATGTTCAAATTTGAATAATTAATGTTCAAAGGTGTATAAGAGACATGCAAAGTTGTATAAATGATGTTCAAAAGTGTATAAGTGATGTTCAAAGTTGTGTTTGAAATGCTCACACTTTAATAAGATATGCTCAAATCGGAATAAGTGATGTCCAGATATGCAGAAAAGATTCCCAAAGGTGTGTAAGTGATTTTCAAAGTTGTATTAGAAGTGGTCAAAGGTGTGTGAGTGATGTCCAAAGTTGTATTAGAAGTGGTCAAAGGTGTGTGAGTGATGTCCAAAGTTGTATTAGAAGTGGTCAAAGGTGTGTGAGTGATGTCCAAAGTTGTATTAGAAGTGGTCAAAGGTGTGTGAGTGATGTCCAAAGTTGTATTAGAAGTGGTCAAAGGTGTGTGAGTGATGTCCAAAGTTGTATAAGTGGTTCCCAAAGTTGTATTAGAAATGCTCAAATTTGAATAAATGATGCTCAAAGGTGTATAAGTGATTTCCAAAGGTGTATAAGTGGTGTTCAAAGGTGAATAAGTGATCTACCTAAGTGTATAAGTGATCTACCAAGATGTATAAGTGTTTTATCAAGGTGTATATGTGATCTGCTGAGGTGTATAAGTGTTTTATCAAGGTGTATATGTGATCTGCTGAGGTGTATAAGTGATTTATCTAGGTGTATATGTGATCTGCTGAGGTATACATCTTTCAAGGTGGATAAACCATTTATTCTCTCACTAAATTCTTCCTCTTTGACATGTTGTAAACTCATGGCCTGTTAATTGGTTATTAACCTTGATTTTGTGGTAACAACATCGTCCAATACTTTGCATCCAAGTGAACGGCACAGTATAGTGTTCATGTTTCGTTAAATTCTAGCGTGTCCCCCTGGAGTCGATCCAACTGTATGGCAATGGTTCTGTGCGGTAGATGCTGATAAATCCGGTAAACTCACAACAAGGGAGGTACAGCAAGCCTTGACCAATAATGATTGGAGTCATTTTAACGGAGAGACATGCCGTCGTATGGTTGGTGAGTACATTAGTGTACTACAAAGAAATGGTGTCCAAAATTAAAAAAAGAAATTACAGAAAAATAAATACAAATTTGCAAAATGTTGGCGGGAAAATCGTTGAAACTGATAATTTGTGACGTGTCAGTCTTCAAGCTGGAAATGTTATTTTTATGGAAGGATCAATTTTATATAAAGAAAATTCATTGGATGTGCAGAAAATAGAATGCATCATATCATATACTGGAATGTTCTCACCACGTGTTAATATTACGCATTCATTGTTCAGAGGATACTACTACTACAAGTTTATAAAAACAATGTATGGTTTACAGGATGTGTTCACTTTGTAATATGACACACAATCCTGGAATATATCGTCATTTTATGCTTATATTGTATTGATCGTAAATGAAAACACCTATTTGGTGAACTTTGCTTCAACAAGTTGTCCTTGTCTGGGACGGTCTTCTCTTAATACAAATGTAAATCTGTTGTCTTGTAGGGATGTTTGATAAAGATCACTCGGGGACGATTGACATCCATGAATTTGCTGCTCTGTGGCATTATATACAGCAATGGAGAGGAGTATATCAACAATATGACAGAGACCATTCAGGCAGAATTGATGCCAGTGAACTCCATAATGGTGAGTGTCAATATCTCGTGTAATACCAGAACACATGTTATAAACATACGTTATTGAGTATATATCCATAATTCCATACCCATGTCTTGTTATGTGGGTTGCGGGGGAATTGACACTAGAATACATGTCACTTTGTATAAAATAACCTTTAAATACTATCATGCAACAATATTTTGTACATTTTATGTGTATACATGTAATTTGTTTGTGCTAATTTTGAGCCAAGACGACATAATTTTCAATAGGTGATTTTCCGTTCACTGCGAGATCTCGCGTAATGTGTGAAAGACGCGGCTCGAACGCCTGCCACAAAAATCGAATGAATTGATTTTGAACTTGTATTTCACTTTTTAATAGTTCAATGTTGAAATTCAGAGAGGGGTATGGCGTTAATTATCTTTACTTCATCAAAATTGGCCATCATCGAATGTGCGTAACGCATTATTAAGCGAGGAAATCCCTCAAAACGTTTTGCGTTTGTCAAATGCTGCGCGATGTTTTGACGCAACTGTGACGCTATGGCCTTTACAATGAAGTCAAGTTAAAGTGAATAAAATTTGAATTAATTGATTGATTCTTATTCAGCGTTCAGCACAATGGGCTACAGACTATCACCACAGTTCTCACAGCTGGTCATAGCAAGATACGACACACAGGCCAAAAAGAGTCTGAAATTTGACGATTTTATCCAGTGTTGCGTTCTACTGAAGTCACTTACAGACTCGTTCAAACAAAAAGACGCCGGGATGACTGGTAATATTGACGTCTCCTATGAGGAATTCATGGCCATGGTTTTATTAGATCTTATTGTTTAAATTCTCTTTGTAATTGGGCAATCTGAACTATATACTAGTACATGTATATAGAGGACAGGTTACTGGCTCAAGGTGGGAGGGCGCTCTTTGTGGAAGACTAGACTTGTGTGCGAGTGCACTCTTTATGTAAGAATATGTGAGGACGCATTTTGGCAACAACTCTTAGTTTGCATTACGTCGACTTAAGCAAGGGCTTCTATATACGACTAGTCTAGACTTGAATACAGTCTCTTGTTTATTTTTTGGTGTTTTTTTTCCAATAAAATAATATAAATAACAAAAGCAGGGTTACCGCGAAATAAACAAGAATTCTATGCAATCATAAACAAATTTCAAAAAATAATTTCAGGTTTCTAATAAACTATCGAGACAAATGTTTGTTTATGAAAATCTAACTCCAATTTTGACCTCAACGCTGATTGGTGGAATTTTAATGCATCACCCACCGAGCCAATACCGGTGACAAAAATCACCGATGTCGCAAGAGGGCGTCTACAAGCTTCACAGTCCTCTTATTTCGCGTGTTTTTCTGTAAGTGGTGCTCTTCATGTAAACTCAGACAACTGAGTTATTAGTTGTCTGAGATGCAAAACGTATCTTGATACGAGGTTGCTCTCGGTATGAAGTGGAGTCTTAGATATGAGGGCGCTCATACATAAAACTAGTCCTTCATATTTAGTTAAGAACGTCTTTGTATTTACAGATTTTCTAGGTTTTCTAGTGTTGTTATTTATTCAATAAAAGATGACTATAGAGGATATTATTATAATTATTGTAAATTTTAGTTTTTTTAATAATAAAGATTGTCACTTATCGTGTATGCTATTTTTTAGGAATTTTTTTCTGCTATGTCATACAATGGTGTCGACCAGCTTATATTTGAAATTGAGTCTGAAGAGCGCCATCATCAGTGCCGTGAGATTACACCTGAGGGCGCTCTCCACCAAGAATCAACAGTTATTCCTACACTCTGATCTTACCATGGACTTAACATTTCTTAGTTCAAACTGTGTTGAGACATCCATTGATAAACCTGCTTGTCAAAAGTTTAGACTCAAATATTTGAACCATAGCATGCCATCTTTCAAGTTCACTTGCTCATTTATGGTTTGAGAGTTACTTTTTGTCACATGATTTTGTAGGTGTATTCGGTCAATATTATAGAACTTTTTTTTTATTTTTTAACTTAGTACTTATATTTTGACGACAATGCACTGTACTGTGAATGTATTTTATTTTCCTGATATTCAGAATAAAGCAAATCTTGCTCTCCAGATTGAAATGGGTTTTTTATGTCAACCATTTTTATACTTATCCATTTTTGTCATTTGTCTATTGCTAGCCATGGTAGATCTAGTTTTCAACAAGCCCTGTGTACATAGACTGTGTGGCAGGTGTTAGTATCATATGAACAGGTGATCCTCAACCATTGGAGACATTGTCAATACACAACATATACACAGAGCTAACATGTGTGGATTTAGAGGAGGTGCGACAGCAACCCCCCCCCCCCCCACCTGGTCAGCCCACTAAAAAACAAGCAGCCTCTCGGCTGAGATAGCTCTGCTGTTAGCAATGCACATTTCAATTAAAGAACAGAAGATATCATTAGAAAATGAACAATATGCATAGTATCAATGCAATGGGACTTGCTGTTTTCAACAAGAATTCAAAAATATCATTTTTGACCATAAATGATTGTGGTTTTTAACAAGAAGAAAATATCACTTTTTACCAAAAATGACAAAAATATTCATCAAAATTAGAGAATTGAAGATATCATCATGAAATGAACAAATTTGAGAGTGGTCCATATGTAGTATCTATATATGTAATATCAAAGCAATTGGACTTGTCGATTTTAACAAGAAGTCGAAAATATCACTTTTTACCAAAAATGACAAAAATATTCGCCAAAATTAGAGAAGTAAAGATATGATTACAAAATGAACAAATCTGAGAGAGGTCCACATGTAGTACCTATATATGTAA